TGATGCAACTAATACATAAAGTGGAGAATTTTTACTAAACATATTCAACTTAAAACTAACATTAAATTCTTTAAACGCTATTTCGTAGTGTTTGGGTTGACATTTTCTGACAACCAATGAGCTCAACTTTTATTCTTCATTTTACCGTTTATCGAAAACATTATAAACAAATTTTGTCATCACAGAACTCCAGTGACCAGTTTCTAAGATGCCGAAACTTATTTCAGATATTTGATATACTTGTGAACGAGTTAAATGTTTCGAAACAACTTGAATATTATAGTGACTAATTATTTATTTATTCAATATAAAAAAATCATTCTTGTTAGTTTCGACAAAAATTCATCCTCACCTTTATACTTCTTGCAGTTTGGGAGAAACTAGATACATAAAACATTGTTGCATATTTGCCTGCATAGTCACGCAACATTTAGTTTCTATTTAATAGTTTTGTATGCACTCAAAAAATAAAACATTTCAAGATTATTTTTCATTGCAACTAAGAACTTCAGTAGCTTACTTTATTTCTCTTGTCTGTATTATCTGAAGTTGAGTTTGAAATGGGAAAGATAAGGTTGTCTGTTAAAGATTAATAATTGGCGTTACAGGACTTACAGAGTTACACTTTATCCTTAAAAGTAATTGTTTTCGGTAACTTTAAAAATTTACCTCAAGAATATAATAAAACACCTCTTAAACTGGAGATTATCGTTCGAAAATCTCAAGTGAATACAAATAATTTCTAGAATAAAAAACTACAAACTATGTGAAAACAACTTAATACGCAGCAGTATTTACTAATATATTTATTGTAGTTTCTAAGCTAAACTAGTGGACTATTTTTAAAACAAATGTATTGCACGTTTATGGAAGGAAACATTTTATAAGCAATTAAAACTAAATAAAATAACGACACAATTGAATAAAAGTTCTCTTTGAGACAATGTCGTTTTTTAAAAACTCCGCAATCGTATTTGTATAGAATAATTTAGATAACAAATCGCTTAGTATTACAGATAGCTGAGTGAAGTAAACTATAAATTCTTTCCGCCGTGTATTTTAACGTTGATGAATGTGTTTCGTTTGAATAAATTTATGGAGCTTTAAAGACGGGGTCACTGGAGATATGGTTTTCAAATCGACAGTTTTATTTAGATAATGATATTAGAAGACGAAGATTATCAGACTAATTGTTTTAAGTTTTATTTAGATATTTATTTAAGTATAAATAACAGACGAATAAATTCACAATAACTGCGTCGAACACTAGGTGGTATAGCAAAAATAGTGAGTGAATACTTCAAAATGTTTAGACAGCTAATTCATAGAAATTTATATTCGTGCTATTTAGTCAATGCTTAACAAACAGATTTCAACGAACATATAGTTTATTTTGATAAGGCACAAATTAAGTCAAGTTTTTTGTCATTATTTTTGTGAGATACCTAGAACGTTTTTGATTGGTGATATGCTCTATTAAGTTTCGTGTACTATCACATTTATATTAATGTGATCAAAGACCTTTTATCCTTACTCACTTACTTACCCTTGTTACTGCTCGTAGAGGAGCATAGGCCGCTCATCACCATTCACCATCCACATCTGTCCTGACTAACCCTATCCAGTTGTTCCCAGTTACTACTCATCAGTCCTTTCATGTTGCTTCCACTTCTCTATGTAATGTGTTCTTTGACCTTCCTCTATTTCGTTCACCTTCACGAATCCAAGTTAGCACTTGCCTTGTGACGCAGTTTGATGGATTCTGTAATGCATGTACCATCCACTTCCAGCATCTCTCCATAATTTCCTCTTCACTTGGAAACTCTTTTGTTCTCTCCCACAGTTGGATGTTGTTGGTGGTATCCGACCAATGAACATTGAGTATCTCATATAGACGATTGTTTAGAAATACTTCTACATTTTCAATAATGGTTGTGATAGTCCTCAAGGTTTCAGCTGCATATATTAGAACTGTTTTGACGATCATATTGAAGATTGTGATTTTGATATTGGTTGACTGTTGTGTTTGAGTTCCATATGTTGTTCAAATGTGTGAATTCTGTCTTTGCTTTTTCAATCTTTGTCTTTATGTCTGCATCAGATCCTTCTTGTTCATCGATTATGCTGCCCAGGTACCTGAAAGTATCTGCTCCGCCTGTATCTCTTCTGGGTTTACTGTCGATCTTAAGTTCGTTTAAAGAGGGAAGGTTGGGGTACCCCATCCCATAAAAAATTACCTTGCTTAAAAATGCTAACCATTTATAAAAAATTAATAAATAGTTTCGTGTTCGATTATTTAATAATAATTTAACAATTCAGGACGAAAATTGCTATCCATATAATCTGATAATTATTGTCACGATTGTTATAGTTTATTGAACAACAGTAAGAAGAAAATCGTGTTTTTTTAATCATGATATGAAATAAAGAAGTGCTAAAAAGAATTTTTGAGAATATACAAAAAGATAATAAAAATCACAAGAATTAGAGTAATTTTACTATCAGTTGAGTAGACAAATAATGGCTGCATGACAAGATGAAACGTTTTCAGTTGAAATATGATAAAATGATGTGATTAAAAGTGTTGCTTTGAGTACATCGAATATATTCCTTTGTTCATGGTGCTTAGAATCGGAAAAAAGAGATTGTAAAATACGTCGAAGATGGAAAGAATCATTATTTGACAGAGCTTCATCTGCTTCGTGATACAATAATGCTAGTACTATGCTCATTTCAGTATGATCACTCTTATAAGTACATTATCGCCACTGTATGAGGTGGCATTGCTTGTTGTTTGTAAATAAGTTGATCGGAGCTGCCGAAAAAACTTAGTTCTATCAAAGTATTTGGACTTTTATGTTCACTCTTTAAAGGATGGCTTATGCTTGATGTAATTAAGTGAAAAATTATGACTGGAATGTTCATTAACATGGTTGACATTTATCACATTATTTTTCATGAGTTCGTTCATCTTTTATAAAAACCACTTTGTTAGATTTTTAAATATTTAAGGTGTCGTATATATTTAGTTGTGCTTTAATGATTTTTCGAACACACAGTGACCGATTATCGCCGATAGTTCAAATAGATCAGTTGTCATTCATTTGAAAATTTCTCATGAAAAAATATAAAGCCTTAACAAGCTGGATGTTTTAAATTGCTTTGATAATCAAATAGACGAATATAAAAAGATAATTTTTCACAGAAAGGATTTTTATATTGTTTATTTCCAGCCCTTTACATCAATAACCAAGATTTTAAAGTGGACAATATAAGGAAATATGCAATATGTCAAGACATTCTTTAAAAAGGAAAATACTCTACCCATTTTATTCATCCCAAAAACATGTTAGTAAATTACACATATAAAGTAGTGTGTATGAGCCTACGCTTATGTAGACTTATTCGCTATGTAAAAAGCTTTTTAGAGATAAATAACCCTCAACTTAAGTGCTCAGTGACGTATCCATTGTAGTGACTCTTTAATAAATGCAACATTTCTTAACATGAAACCAGTCACACATTTCACAATATATTAGCACCAAACTGTTCTAAAAGGCATATTATGTTGAAGCAAACTTCACAAATATAACAATTTTTACATATGTTTATATCCTGTACATTAATCTTACAATAAAATAACACTAAACTCCAAATTCCAAGAAATAATGCAAAAACAATATTTAACATGCTTACTAGCTTAACCTGATAAAATCAATTACATTATGTATAATATAGCACAATTGTTTATTTATTCCAGAAAACAGTGTACATTCTGTGGTGTTGCTACTTATGTCGACAGAAGAGGAACGCATGACAGAAGAAGGTTATGATGGTCGACTTAAGGAAAACAGAAATAGAAAGGGATTTTGATTTGGAAGAATCATGCAGAATTTGAAGGAAAAATGATGGAAATTCGCAAATGAAGTATGGTTCTTATATTTTACCAAGATATAATCGGTCGTTCCCACCTAAGTTACCGTTCACAACACAGTTGACTATTTAACGAACATTTAATCACAGTATGCGAACGAAAGATAGAATCTTTACTTCAATTCAGTCAGCAATATTTAACTTTATTTATGATATAATATTAATTTCAATAATGCATGAACGAATGTTATTTCATTATCTCTTATTCTTTACGACAGTAGACTGTTTAGACAAACTGATAACACACTATTTAGCAATAAAGAAATTTAGAAAATTTTAATAACCATCCTTCTGGTATAAATAATATTTTGAAAAATAGCTATAAATTATAATTATGAAATTAAATATAAAAACATAATTATTAATTGGCAATATTTTCCAAACGGTATAAATTCACATATAGTTCTTTCTATTTAATAATATGATACTCTTTACTGGATATTACAATAGCTAGTTATTTTAAATAATGTTATTTTTCACTTGTTTTTAATATTAATTTAACTCAAATCTACGGTATATCTTAATAATATTTCATTGGCTATATTGTGTTAAATGCTTTTAAATTTCTGATAGTTGTTTAAATATATAGAAGTCGATACTGAAGTTCTTTAGTGGAATAGGTCTCAAGTTTTCAAACTAACAAAATAATATTTTCCTCTTTTTAAGTTTGAATGTAATTTATTATGATATAGAATTTTAGTTTCTTCTATCGATATGTTTGTAAAGTCGTAAAAGATCAAATAATTCATCAAACAATTTCAAAATACATTTAACTGTTCAAAGTCTTTTACTTAATATATCAATTTATCCAACATAGAAATAAGAATCTCATTACTTAGCTGACAAAAATAAGTCATTTTTCATTCAATTCCAACTTAATTGAAGGTAATTATGATAAACTAGTTTAAACAATATGTAATACAAGATTAGGAATGAGGTTATTAACAATTTTTCCCAATGTATTCATAAACGTAAAACCCTTTCTTTGGTTAATTAAGTATAACTGTTAGTAAAAAACTATTTTTTCACACATGAAAACAAGAAAATCATTTTTTATATCTACTTACCGAAATTTGGAAAGTATGGATAGTGTCATCCAAATGAAGAACATGCACTTGAATCATACGTAATCCTTTGCCTATGCACTGACCATCCATATTTGTGTATATTCACTACTCCAACTTTGAACAGTAGAATACTGATTAAGTAAGCATATGCGTCAGATAAGTCTATAAAATAAATATTATCATCAGATCAAAGCTTATTAACAATATATAAATTATAAGGATAAACGATTTGATATATTTGTTGTTTATAGAAATATTTTTACCACTTTTACCATTAGTTAAAGTAAAAACTAAAATTTCAATACAGAAATGTTCAAACGTGTGAATTTTAGGAGTGGAAGCTTTTTTCAATACCAGAAACAACAGACTAAGTAACATATGATAATATACATCATTTTCAAAGTAAATGACTGAATTTAAAAGAAAATAATTTCTCGTCCTAGAATACGGATGAAAAACACAATATCAATAAATTCTGATGATAAGGATTAAAACATTTTCAATTATTCCTTAAATCTAACTTAATATATCGAAACTTTAATTGAACTTTGTCAAGGAAAAGTTTGGAACAGATTGCTAGGCGAAACGTTGGATTCACTTCAAAATCCATTCGCTGAGATTTTATAAATACATCCTCCCTATTCAATGTCTCACATTAGCTCGGCGCTCAAGTACTGTGAAACTATTCGATTGAATTTAGACGAAAGTTTTTATTTATTATTCTGCAGATATTTCCCTGAAAAAGCTTGGACCAGATTGTCAAGCGAAACGTTAGATTTACTTCAAAATTCATACGCTGAGAGTTTACAAATACATTCTTCCTCTTTAATGTCTTAATTAAACTTGTTTTATGATTGCATCACATTACTTATGAAATCTTACAGTATCTAAGACAAATCATTTAAAAACGTATATTGCGGTAAGTTCAGAGTTTATTCATTAACAAATTATATTACCTGAATGTATATTAAATTGTAATAACTATGATAGTTATAAATAATATTTATCTATTAGAACACAATATTATTATATGAAGTATATTTTTTGTAGAATGATTTTTATCACATAATTTGTCACGAAATGATTGGGATACAAAATTTGAACATTTATTGAGTAAATTAATATATGTCAGGAATTTTATTCTATATTTGATTAACTCTAATTATTTGAATACGGATTTAACTATTAAAACAATGCATTTAATCCTCTATATTTCATTATTATTATTATTATTATAAATAACTTTTCATGTGCCAAATGTATATACCAAGAAAAAGCAAAAGATTTAAATTGTTTATCACATCAACAGTTGTTTTTACTCACAAATTTATGGTATATTATTTAATAGTTTTTAGTTCTGGATGAAAAAACATCAATTGAGAATAATTAAGTCTAAAATCTAATCAAGGATGGAGACAATTGTCACTGTTTAAAATAATGAAATGATTTTCTAATGATTTGTATTTAATTTTTAATTTATATAAATTTGGGATGAAATTTATGTTGAAGCCGTTTGAAATGTATTTTTATTAGTTGAGATCATGAGTCAATTGAAGCTAGATCAATATGAAAAACCTGGAAACACTGGATGGCCGTTTCGTCTTGCTGCGGATTTCCTCATCAGTGCACATCTATGATCCCGCCTCGTGAGATTCAAACCCAGGACCTATAAGTGCTTCGAGGTTTTCTACGGTGGTCTAGCTTCAAATAACTCCTGATCTCAACTATTAAAATTACTATAATATCCACAAAACCCCTTCTGAAATTTATCTGTTAAAATCCACTTAATAAAAACAAAAAGAAACTTATTCAGTTGGTCAGAATATCAATAAGTAATTACATTCAAGTTTAATGTTTATAATATAAGTAATCAAGTAAAAGTTTGTAGTTTATGAACTAGATAAATCGCACTCATATAACATATTAGATTCGCACCATTAGCACATAATGAAGAAGTGTATGTATATCTCAAATCATTGTCATAATACTGAGTGTATATAAACACCACTTCAAAAAATGATAAACTGCCCTGGTAGCCTGTTCATTTTCGTGGTGAAGATTTAAGTTCCAGATCAAGAAAAATACTTTTTGATGCTAAATAAACTCATATAAAGATATCTTTCCACTATTAACTCATATGAACTACAGAATATTTAACAAAGCGGAAATACTGCATTGCTGTTTCAATTTGGTTTCAGATTCCATAACACTGACCTACTATAATCTAATAACAAATCATTTACCTAGAAATGCAGGTCTTTTACTGAACAGCATATAAGTCACCGATACTAGATGTTTTGCAGTACGGTTGTTAGATGTAGTGGCAAGCCCTAGTAGAGGTTTAATATGTTTAAAAAGTCCCTTTTTTGCTACGTTCATCGCCAAGGAAGCAAAAGAGAATGTGTCTAGAGTTGAAATTATGCTCCGGTTCTTCAGTGATTTCATCCTAACTTCATACGGATCCAAAGACTTCACAACCACAACGTCAAGAGATAGGTAGTATTGATTAAGCTGTATCACAACGGATATTACACGAAGGTGGACTGAGTCATTAACCATACATGAAAGCACTAGATGCGTTAAAGATTGCTAAATAATCTGTAGCGGTCGTTCAAAGAACCTGAACGCAACACTAACCTACTGTAAATTAATAATATCTAATCTATAACCACTTCACGTTAAGTCCTCACTAGCTAACAAGTGACAGAATACTGGTTATAAGTTAGCCAATTCATCACATTTGTCTATTTTGTTTTCCTCGCATAATTATTAAATTCCTATATCGAAACGTTCTCCCGTATCCAAAAACCTCGTACATTACAGACAGAGAGTAAGTATCAATTGGGAATACTCTTACATCAATACCATGAAAAAAATCAGCCACGAGAGATGTGAGGAAGTAAAATATAATAATACTAGAAGTCTTCATAGACATAAACGCAGTTTAGTGTGTATATTTATTCTATCCGTAAACATCAAGTACACAATAAATTTTTTAAGAACTATAAGGTTTTCAATACAATCAAGTGTTCAGTTTAACTAAGTGGTTGATAAGTACGTTCCATTTATTGTTGTTTTCGTGATACAAGTATACGCCAAACTTCAATTAGGTTGCTTCGTTTGTAATCATTTCATTATCAGGCTGATAAGGAATTTTGGGAAGACTTTGGAGATCGGCTAAAAGTTATGGTGATTAATATAATCTGAAATCATCCATAATTAATCAATATATGGCATTAAAAAATTCAAGTGCTTAGGTCTTACTCATAGACCGTAATATAACATTGACTTTATTCCGAATCCTGGTAGCTATTTGCAATAAGTTCCTAAACTACTCCTTTACTCAATCCCGTTTCTTTTCTTTGTGAAACTCGAATTACATCAATGCAAGGACAAGTTGACATGTCTTCTTTTACGAATACAAAGTAAACTAACCGAAGTATTGGTCATAAAGAATAGGAAGTATTCTTAACTTATATTTCCTGAGTGTACTGTGTACACCAAACCATCAGGTTGCGCATTAATCGTATTTTTCCATCGTATTTACTAACGTGACAAGTTTCAAATATTATGAGCGGGAAGAATCTGAAAAACATTTTTTCTAGTTCAAAATGAGGGATAGAGAAACTCGAAATAATTCAATAAATCATTTTTAAGGGAGAAAAACAATTTTGTAATTGACACTAGCGTTCAGTTTGTATGATGCAAAAACATATTTCACACAGAGCAAAAGAAAAAGAGGCAAGAGCCAGAAAAAAGCGATACATAACATACGACTAAACAAATACGCTAAAGTGTTGAAAAAAGGGGAGTTTTAATGAAATACAACTAACACTACCATGTTACAGACTAAAATAGAAACAAATTTGTTCATATAAAGTATTAACAAAGAATTAATAAAAATGGATAATATATTTCGATTCATATGGTTAAGAAGACTTTAAAAAATTACTGTCCTTCTTTTTTTTATTAATTCGCTTTCTCCTCATAAATGAACTCAAACAAACATTTCTAGAGATTCTTTCTTAAAAGAATAAACCTTGATCCTACCAAGAATTTCCCACATACTGACTGAATACTCCACTAAATGATTTTACAAACTAAGTTTTACTGAAGTTTCATTGTAATCCATTAAATGCTTATTTGTACCAAAACGTGCAGTTTGACATAAACACTGGAATATCACAAGAGGGACTACGATATGTAATTATTATAATAAAACGAGACTTATGGAACACAGACAGTTACTAGCGAAACATTAACGGCGTTTTTAAATAACGAGCATTTTATTATTCTTCAAATTTCGTTTGCCAATTTAAATTTTACCAATTAGTCTTTAATTTTGAGCACGACATGATTTTTTAGTAAAGAAAAACGTCAAACTGCGACTATATGAATAAGCAAAATATGTCGTTAAACTACTGTTGGTATAAAATCTATCTTATCTAAAGGAAGATGGTGTGATTCTAATCGACGTTTTCATTTCTTTTGTGAGATTAAACATGTTAATTTACTCATGTACTATAAGTGACACCATTTCATGGCTATCATTTAGTCTACTTAAGTTTATTAAACAGTTATCGTTGGACAAAACCCTCCATTTATGGTATATTTTAGTTTTTGGTCCCATGAGAGATACTGTTACATACTCTACTCGATTACATAAATACGGTACACAACTATTGGCACCCAAATGCGTAGAACTCCACAATCGCAAATTATAAGACGGAAAGCTTTATTAACTCGGCAGTAAACATTATTATTCAGTTTCAGTATTACGCTCATCAACAAACTGATGTAAGAAGTCTATAAATTATCTGAGTATATTTCATTTTTTATATGAGAACGTTGGAAGGATCTCCTAAAATGCAGCTTTGCAGAGGGTGTTTCCAGATTTCAACAATATTCATTACTTCTGATGGTACTTTGCATTTAAATAAAAGGGTTATCATTAGCTTTTTATCAGAAAAACTCTTAAGTGTAGTATCCTTACTGGATATCTGGTAATTGCAAAAGAGTAATTTCTGACAAGAGGTACATGTTAGAATGCGGAGGTGAATAATGTTTTCCAAGTAGCTGTGCCGGAAATT